AGTCACAGGGCTAGTGTAGGTCACCGATCAGCAGACAGAATCACAGGGGCGAGACGAGAGGGAGAAATCCAAGAAAACAGGCAAAGATCAAAAAACGCAAAAACAGGCAAGGCAAGGCAAAACAAGGAAAACACGGAGACTCGGAAAGGGGTACAGGCTAAACAATACTCAGCAGAGAAATGTGGTTAGAGTGGGTGTAATATAGTGAGTGAGGTGATTAGAAACACCTGTGTGCAATCAGGGCGGTGTGCAAATTGTGCAAAGAATGATGGGAAATGTAGTCCGGGGTGCTATGCAACAGTTTGTGTAGTGCGAGAGTCAATGTAATGGAAAGGGTGACATCTGGTGGTGAATAAACGGAAGTCCATGGACTGAATTTGTGACAAGAACCTTGAGGTACACCAAAACTGATGCATTTGGTAAATGATTTGTGTTTCTGATATATGACAAATTGTTGCCTCCCTGTCAAATAGGAGGAAAACCATTGAAAACCAAAGGCTGTGCCAGTAATTCCAATTGCTGAAAGCCATGAGAGTAAAGAGGTAGGTGCAGGGTCAAGAAGACTAGTAGAGGAATTAGCCTGATTATCTCATCAACCACTGTGGGGACAACAGAGTCAAAACTAGAGAAGCTGTGAGCACGGCATGACGAGAGAGATTCAGTGAGAGGAAACAGAAGTAGGGGGTTGACAGGTATGAGATGTTTTACTTTGAAAGAAGTTCAAGAAAGCATCACACATTTGATCAGAACCCTCTAGAGACTGTACAGGAGGCTGAGTTATTTTTTTAATCATAGTATATAATGTTCTAGGCATGTTTTTGGACTTGTTAAAGTAGAGAAGTAAGATGATCGAGTTGCATTAAGAGCATTCCTGTACTAAATGTGTTCAGTATATGCAGAGGAGTGAACAATAAGGCCAGTTTTCTTACAAAGCCTTTCGAGCCGACGGCCCTGGGTTTTCATTGCCTTAATCTCAGTGCTGAACCAAGGAGAAGTCTGCAAGGATAGGACATGTCTGGATTTTAAGGGAGCAAAATTATTCAAAATAGTAGAAATACTTTCATCATAGACATTAAGAATGTCTTCACGCACGATAATCAATCAAGGATTTCACAACAGGCTTTGGAATGTAAAAATTACAAGAAAATTCAATCGGTTTATGATCTAATATACCAATGTCAGAGCCTTTTAAGGCAGCAATGTCGATACTAGTAGAGCATACCAAATCCAGTGAATGAGCATGTACAGGTGCATCTCAATAAATTAGAATGTCATGGAAAAGTTCATTTATTTCAGTAATTCATGGAAAATCAATATGTTGCTGCAGATTAAAACAGTCCAGGACAGACATGTACTCACGAGCATGAGCAATATCAGTATCAACATGAATATTGAAATCCCCTAGCAATAAATAGCTGTAGATTGGGCAGAAGCAATTGTCAGCAATTCACACAAATCTGATAGAAACTGCATGTTCATTTTAGGAGGACAGTAGACCAGTATTATAAGCAGAGGAGAGTCACTAATGATTTTAAATGCCAAATATTCAAAAGATGTCACCTCATGGAATGCAGACAGCTCAATTTGAAGACTCTGGTGATAGACCACCGCCAGGCCCCCAAGCCTGCCTCCAATTCGGGGCATAGTCAAAGTACTGAAACCAGGAGGAGAAAGCAAATTTAGTTCAAAAAATTCATTTGATGCTTGCCAGGTTTCTGTGAGCATCAGCAAATCACATTTATTTTCAGTAATGAGGTCCCGGAGAAACGTTCCTTTCCCAGTTAATGACCAAGAGTTGAGTAGGGCAAAATTACCACATTGCAGTACCCTCTTGTTAAGCACAGAGTCATATCTAGTCTTTTCAAGTGGTCTTAGAGACGATAAACAAACTCCACGATGTATATACGTAGAAGACGACTTCCATGTGCTTCATTTGTGAGACCAGATTTGAAAGTGAAAGTGATGTGACATGTGGCCAAGTATGGTGACCCATACTCGGAATTAGTGCTCTGCATTTATCCCAACCAAAGTGCACACACACAGCAGTGAACACACACACACCGTGAACACACACCCGGAGCAGTGGGCAGCCATTTTTTGTTGCGGCACCCGGGGAGCAGTTGGGGGTTCGGTGCCTTGCTCAAGGGCATCTCAGTCGTGGTATTGAAGGTGAGAGAGAGCGCTGTACATTCACTCCCCCCACCTACAATTGACTAAATGAACTCTACCTTGCTTTCCCACTAAAAGGCATGGGGAGGCGAATCTCCCACAGACTTCATTTCAGTTTCATAATGGGTTTTAATATATTTACATAAGAACGTTTAACAGACTTTCTTTGTGATGGCATCATAACTTAATTTTTGTCACTCAATTTATGTTGTACTACAAAAGGACCATCAAATTTAGCCTCGAAAGGAGAAGATACAATAGGCCGTAAAACAAGCACTTGGTCGCCTGGTTTAAAAACACTCAAACGTACGGTCATATAATCACTTCACATTTTGCTGATGTTTCTAAAGATTTTCCTTAGCCCGAAAAAAAGTCGGTTCTTAAAACCCAAGACATACAACACCACATTTTTAGGAGGTTCTGCAATTTTACCAGTCTCCTGAAATATGGACAACAAACCACACACTTTATGGCCAAAAACCAAGTAATTAGATCTAAATACCCATACTTTCCTGCACTACCTCATGTGCTGCTAACATCATCCACGGTAAACCCTCTTCACAGTCTCTATCCAGCTGCACACAGTATGTGCGAAGGATTGACTTTAACAACAAATGGAATCACTCCAAAGCACCTTGGCTTTGAGTATGATACATGGTAGACTGATTATGCTTAATGCACAGCTGTTTCAACACTTGCTGGAAGAGGTGAGAAGTAATTGATCGTTTGAACCTTGATCCCTTTGAATGATTTTTGGAATTCCAAAGACAGACATAAATTGGGTCAAAGCTTTCACAATAGAGCGAGAGGTAATACTATGCAATGGATACCCTGCAGGGAAGCATATATTAGTGAACAGATAAGTGCTCCCTGATTTCCAACGAGGAAGTGGCCCTACAC